TGGCCGGGCCCCGGTTTCCCGCCCCCCGCCCCGGGCCTGCGTCCAGCACGGCCATCACGCGGGACGGCTTTCCTCTGCCAGCAGGACACCGCGTCTGAAAAGGGACCTGCACAGAGGGCTGTTTAACGGGACCACGCGCCGGAACCCTCCTTTACTGTCATCCTTCCCGCCGGGTGATTTCGGATTTCCTTTCAACTCAAAATGGCCTCCAAAATTGGCCAAGTCCCAAGACCTGAAGGTGGCCAGTGCCCCGAGGTCCAGACGCCCGCTCCCGGGCCGGGAGAAAGGCCCTCGCGAGACAGCTGGCGGAGTCTCAGGTCTGCCGGCCACCAGGGGGCCGCTGGGTGGGACACTGCCACACCGATCCCCCGGCTGTGGCCGGTGGGCGCCCTCGGAGCCACCCACACGGCAAGCGCCCAGCGACCCACTCACGTGAAACGCCGCGACGAAGAAAGTCAACGCTAAGAAATACAAGTTGGTATCGACGAAAATCCCTCTCACTTCATCGGCGTCTTTCTCTGAAAACCCTAAAATGGAACAAAGCAGCGCGATGCAAAGTGGACCACGCCGGCCTTGCCCCATGTCACACAGACGGTTCTGCGGGCTGCGGCAGCCGGAACCGGGTGCCAGACACGTCTGGGTAAAGAAAACTCTCAAGTGACCACCAGGGACTTTACAAAGCCAGGACATGAAAACGACACGCTGGGGACCCCGTGACTGGAACTGCGTGGGGGACCAGCAGCGTGAGCCTGGGGCTTCTGGGTCCCTGGGCCACGGCCGCGGCAGGCACGCACACAGCCTCACCGAACTGCTGCAGGGCGTGCACGGCGTCCTGCATGTGGATCCAGAAGCGCAGCCTCCCCAGCGAGATCTTGTCGTAGGACACGGTGAGGGGCAGCTCGGCAGTAGAGCGGTTGATGGCCTGATCAAAGGACGGCGTGGTTGGAACCCGCCCACCCACCAGCTCCCTCCTGCCAGGCTGGTCCCCTGTGCTTGTGTCCAGGCCCGTGCACAGTGGAGGCCAAGGCTTCCAACTGGGGCACAGGCTGAGTGCCCTCCTTCCGCCCCTCCCGGGGCTCCAGGGTCCGTGCTGTCCCCTCCTCCTCCTGAGGGAACCGTGTGCATCTCGAGATTGCATGGCCCCTCTACACATCCTTCCTGGCACGAGCAGCACCCCACACGCCAGGGACCAGATGTGTGTGAGACGCTGCACGGGCACGAGCCCCCTCGCAGAAGGGCCGGAGACCGAGGGGGAGGCACGCACGGCCCGCCCACCCCACAGCCGAGGGCCCCACTCCACCTGGGCCGCTGCCTCAGGAGTGGTGTCTGCAGTGACCAGCGTCCGGGAGGGGGGCATCCCCCCGCACACGAGCAGGGACACCCCACATCCCTGAGGATCCTGGGCACACCCACGAGTGTCACATTCCATGCCCACCGTGACCCCTCACAGAAGACGGCTGGTGTCACCCGCCCGGCAGCCCCACGTGCCGGGATCAACCAGACCCCAAGCCCAGGCAGCAGGCCGCCCCACGCAGTGCGTCAGCCTTGGGACGGGCAGGCAGCAGGCCAGGGGCTGCCACCGTCCAGACTCCCTCCCACAGCAGGCAGTGCCATCCCCACAGCGGGCTTGGTTGTCCCCCAAAGACAGCTTCCCCTGCAGGCAGCTGCGAGGGAGACGAAGCGTGGCCACAGAAGGCAGCCTGGGAAAAACGAGCTGCCTGCGCCTGTGCGTGACTCATGCACGCTCACGCATCAGGCCTTCCACGAGACCAGCCGGGCGGCTGGCAGAACAAGGTGCTCTGCAGGGGCTGTCCGGAGCCCCCAGGCACCTGGCCGCAGGCTTCACGGTGTCCTCACCGCTGCTTCCCAAATGCCTTCCCAAGGGTGACCACGCAAGCCCCTGGGGCCACAGGGCCTGTCCTGAGCTCAACCGGACGTGGCACAGCCGTCTGCACACGCAGCATGCTCCCGGAATGCCATGCAGGCCACGCAGGTGCAGCCAGGGCCCAGGCATGGGGAGGACCTGTGTTAGGGACCTGTGGGCCCCAGTAAATGGCGGAGCAGGGATGGTCATTTCTGAGTGCCCCAGCCAGCGGGACATGGCAGAGCTGGACAGGGGCCCAATGGGCCCAAGCCCTGGGCAAGGTCGGCCCCCACCTGCCGCCATGCCCCACAAGCCCCCGGCCCCGGCTCTCAATGTGAGGTGGAGACAGTGCCCTTCGGAGCTCTGGGAGTGTGAAGAGAAAGCCAGTGTGGCCTGGCTCCCTGTGAACCCACAAGCGACCACGATGGGGCTGTGGAGGGGCCCCAGAGTGGTTTGTCGGCTCTGCGCAGAGACGACCTCAGCCCGAGACCACTTGTGACCCTAGATGAGCCCTGTGAAGCACAGTGACATGCCACCACTGGACGGGAACCTTTCACACCTGTGAAGTGCTCAGAACAGCACTTGGCACATGGTCAGCCAAACGTAACCGCTGCTATTCCTGTTAGTGGCCAAAAGCCAACCCCTGTCACCTGCCCTGTCAAATGCCCTCCGGCCGGCCCTGGGAGAGCAACTGCTGTGGCCGCCCCGTGACAACAGGGCTGTGGAGTTCCTGTCTGCCTGCACGCCTGCAGCCTGGCCGTTGGGCAGTACAGGTTTCAGGTGGGAGGCGACACTGCGGGCCAGCCCCGCAGGATGTTTGCTCAGGACGCTGTCTGAATCACCTGCACCTGCGCAGCAGAAACCTCGGTTCACTGGACCACTGTTCACGAGCCACTGCCCTCCACGCGGCCCTTTCAGGAGCTCCGGGCGCCGCCGTCCACACGCTCGCAAGAACCTTTCGCACCTTCGCCCGCGAGGGCCCGAGGGTGGTCAGGGAACCCCACCCTCACAGCAAACTCCGAGCGCGCCCAGGGAGACACGCGAGACACTTGAGAGCCACGCACACCCGCGCCCATGAAAACACAAAGCAGCCGCCCCCGCAGGAGCCACGCACAACCGTGCCCAGGGAGATACGCAACAGCCACCCCTGCGGGAGCCATGCACACCCGTGCCCAGAGACACACAGGAGCCACCCCCGTGGGAGCCACGCATGCCCGCGCCCAAGGAGACATGCAGCGGCTACCTCTACGAGAGGCACGCACGCCCGTGCTCAGACACACAGCAGCCACCCCCGCGGGAGCCACGCACGCCCGCGCCCAGGGAGACAGGCGGCAGCCACCCCCGTGGGAGCCACGCACGCCCGCGCCCAGGGAGACATGGGGCAGCCACCCCCGCGGGAGCCCGGTGCCCCAAGGTGAGGTGCTTACCATGAGGTCCTTGACGCGGTTGCTGAGCTGGTCGATGAAGAGGATGGGGAGGTAGTGCACGGTCTTCCCCAGCTGGATCCTGGGGGTGAAGCAGTGCTCCATGTCACTGCGCATCCTCAACTCGGGTGAACCACGTGCCGCCCCCAAATGCTGCATTTACCCGAGAACCCCCGCCCCCCACACCTTCAGCTGCTTCTGGTTGCAACCTCGGTCAGCGAGACCTACCAGAGATGAGGGATGCCCGGCGCCCCAGGCGCACCTTAGGCCCCTCTGAGCCTCCTGCCTCGGGGACAGCTCAAAGATGCAAGTGTGGCCAACCCGCCTTTGGACCCCGGTGGGCCGCGATCTCAGGGCCCTGCTCCGGCCCACTCCCCTGGGGGCGCCCCCTCTACTGTCGGCTCAGGGAGCAAGCGGGTGACGGTCGACGCCGGGCGAGTAAGCGCGTCCTGCATTCGCCCCCACCGTGCGGGTCCCATCACCAGCCAGATGGCGCACTTACATCTTCATGTACCGATGCACGTCAGCAGGCAGCGAGGACCCATCAAAGACGAAGTCATCCACCATCACGTTCAGCGTCAGTCTTGGTCTCCAGTGGGAAACGGGCTCGTCCAGGGCACTC